CTCTCCGCAGCTGCAGTCTTGTTTAACCGAGCTACACGCGTGGCCGGCTTTGTCCATCTCTTTCGGCTCCACACGTCCAGGGATATTTTACGACTCCCGACGTAAATCAGACGCTGACCGGTGGGGAAAGGAGAAAAAGGAGGAAAGCAGAAGGGGTGGAGGATGGTTCTAAAGTGGGTTAAAGCCATTTAAAAACATGAGACGGACTTTAGCTTTTATTCGTCCTCCCCCACTTTTTCTGTGCCCTGTTCCACAGGCCCTGCTGGAGGCCTGAAGTGTAACTGCTGCTACAGTCTCTCAGTTTAAACCAGTCACTTGACACAAAGTCAAATTTACACATTTTGCTCCTGATCAAATGACATATTTAGTTGACTTTTATGTAAATTTTATGCAAATTATAGTGCAAAACTGTTTATTTGCTGAACTTAACATATCCCAGCCTGGATAAAAATAAAACAGAAATTATACAATGTGCCATGACTTTTTTTGCACAGACCACTTTTTCACATTTTAATTTTTTTCTGCAGTATTTTAAATTCAGCAAATAAACAGTTATTATACATTAAAACAGAATTATTCTCTCTGTAGAGGACACAAATCTACTAAACGTTTGACCAGTGGTGCCTACACTTTTGCACACAACTGTATTTAATCACCCACGACAAATTTGCTGTCTGAAGTTTCTTCATTAGCCTGACTGCAAGGCTAATGTAGCTAACAAGCACATTAAATGTTATTAGCATTCATTACTAGCATCATGCGACACTGCGTAACACACTGTTGAACATAAACATGAATGATATGTAAAATTAGTCAAAGACTGAAGTTTATTTGAAATTTTTTATAGATATCAGCACCACAAACACAAGTCCGTAACTAGCTAACTGTCGTATACTAGCTAATGTAGCTAACAATGGAAGCTCATAACTACTAGCTAATGTGTTCCACACTACTCCAGCTATTTTATTCCTTTCTGAGATAGCAGTACATCATACACCACATATGAAAGTCTATTGTAACTAGCCAGGACTTGTATACTAGCTAATGTAGCTAGGATCAGAAGGTTATAACCACTAGCCAAAGCATTCAACCCTACATTAGCTATTTTATTCATTTTTGTAGATAGTAGTATGTCATACACCACATATGCAAGTCTGTAACTAGCTAACTATTGTGAATTAGCTAATGTAGCTAGCTATGGAAGCTTATAACCACTAGCTAATGTGTTCTACACTACTCCAGCTATGTTATTCATTTCTTAGATAGCAGTACATCATACACCACATAAGAAAGTCTATTGTAACTAGCTAAGTCTTGTATACTAGCTAATGTAGCTAGTAACGTAAGGTTATAATCACTACCTAAAGCATTCAACCCTACACTAGCTATTTTATTAATTTTTGTAGATGGCAGTACATCATACACCACATACATAAGTCTCTAACTGGCTAACTAGCCAGCTACAAGCTAATGTAGCTAGCAAAGGAAGCTTATAACCACTAGCTAATACACTATTCAAGCTATTTTATTCATTTCTTTGGCAGCAGTATGTCTCTGGAATCACTCAGCAAAAAGCTAGTGGGACACCAGTTTTACCATAAATTGAGTCATCTCAAATATACGTGCTTATATGGTATATGACATAAAGCTATCTATAAACGTGAACTACTGTTTTTAGCTATAGTCCAACAGTGTATCATACAGTGTTGCGCAATGCTGGTGATGAATGCTAATAAGCTTCCCTTTCTTGTTAGCCTCGTTGTCCCAGTATAAAGCTAAAGAAGCACTGACCATTTTGGCTAATCGACCACATTTGTGTGTAAATTTGAGCTTTGCAGATGGGGACGGTCTGTAATGGCCTTGTTTGTTTATGTATGTGGCAGCGCCTTTGGGGGTGACCTTGTATAAGCAGTGGTTTAGTGGAATGACTAAAGCACTGCAGGAGGGTTTGTGTATGGGTGTGGGCTGAAAGAGTGTGTACAGAAGCAACAGACGTCTCTCTCTCTCTCTCTCTCCCTGTCTTTTTCTCTCTCTCTGCCTCTCGCTCGGTTTTTCTCTCTGTTTCACTCTGCCTGGGCACACTTACCATAATGAGCGACCGAGCTATAGCACTGCACAGAAGTCAGAGACCACCTTTCGTTCATTTCCAGTCAAAACGGCCAATAAGTACAAGTTATTCTTTGTTCGGTGTCAGGAAAAGAGCAGGAAAGGCATATTTAACTGTCTATCCACACCTCCAGTTCAGTCTTGGAAGTTGGTTGCATTTTCTGCATCTTGCAGTCTGAACAGTCCCAAAGACATTCAGTGATGTTGGGGTCTGGACTCTGGGGTGGTCAGTCCATTGACAACTGCACATCCTTTCAGACTCATAGTGTTATATGATGGGGACAGTTTTAGTATCTACCAAGTCTTCCAGGTGGTTGTTAGGAGCCCTATTTTCTCTGCATTGTTTACCAAATTTTGAACTCCAGTTCTGGAAACTCGTAGTTTTCCAACTCACTTTCCCATCATACAAGGTGATCTTGTATCTAATCTCCCCATATAAATCTCCTGAAAATAAATACCTTATATTTACTGGCTGATTTGACTGGAAATTCAGTAAATTATTTGTAGTTTTGCCCAATACTGTACATGATTGAATTGCAAATGTGTATATGGTTCATTTTCAAGCACCTTTTAAAAAGAATACAGGACTCTCTAAACAAAAGAACAGGATATGGTGCGTTATATCACAGTGTTTGTGTGCGCGAACACAGATAGCATTCAGAAAGAAGTTGACCAAAAGGCAGTTTAGTGTTCCGTTTGAAAATAGCCGAGCTGATAAGCCAGACAATATCGCTCAGTAGGTGCTGCGCTCACACATCAAAGTAGCTGGATGTGACTTTATACACACACACACACACACACACACACACACACACACTGAGTGTATGCCTGTTCGTATCTATCCAAACACAGCAGTAGGAGATAAGGGCAGGACAGATACTGATCTTGTGTTCTGAGTTTTGTTCTGTTCCCCATGCCAGAGACTTCATCAGAGGATTTGCATGAGCAGATCTACTGTAGAGATAGCATGAGAAACACCTCGCACACGCACAGACATCTTCAGCCGCTCCCGTTTCTTTCCTTAAGGTGGAGGCCTGGGAACCTGACCTCAGAATGATTCAGTCTGCATTTTTAAGAAATGATTCAGTAAACAATTCAGTGTATCGTGAAATCTCAAATTTTGGCACGATTCAGTTCAGTTCTTTAAGAAACGATTCATAATATTTCAAATTTCATTCAATTTGATTATGTTTCTTTAGGAAATTGAATCAAATCGAACATTTCAAATTTCCTTGTGATTCAATTTGTTTAAGATGCTTGAAGAATCAAAATCAAATTGAATCACAATGAAATTAGAAATATGAATTGTTTCTTCAAGAACTGAAATGAATTGTGCCCAAGTTTGAGATTTCACACTGCATCTTAAATCTGACATTCCTCCATGGATTTATTAATTTCAGTTCTTCAAGAAATGATTCAGCTCTCCATGAAATGTCAAATTTCATCATAATTCAAATCATGAAGTAAACAATTCAGTGTATCGTGAAATCTCAAATGTGGGCACAATTCAATTCAGTTCTTTAAGAAATAATTCATACTAGTTCGTATTTCATTGTAATTCAGTTTGATTGTGATTCAGTTTGATTATGATCCATGGAGGAATTTCAAATCTGAAATTCCTCCATGGATTAAATCATTTCACTTCTTTAAAAAATTGATTCAGCGCATCGTGAAATCTCAGATTTCACCAAGATTCACTTCAATTTGATTCTTTAATAGTGAATTTAATGTGTCACAAAATCTCACCAGAATTCATTTTAAACCACTCCTTTAATAAATGATTCAGTGCATCATGAAATTTCAAATTTCACCACGATTTTCTTTTGATTCGATTTAGTGCATGATTATATGTCAAGTTTCACCATGGTTCAGTTAAAATTACAATTTTTAAGGAAATGATTCAAAACCTCATTAAATATTCAAAATTGTTTGAATTTTTAATAAACGATTTAATACATCATCAGATCTCAAAATTCACCATGATTGGATTCAGTTATTTAGCAGACATCTCAGTGCATCATGAAATTTCACATTTTGGCACAAATCAAAACTATTTGGTGCATCATGAAAATTCAGATTTCACCATGATTCAATTTGATTGCGATTCTTATAGAAAGGATTCAGTGAATCACTACATCAGAAATTACACCATGATTCAGTTCATTTCGATGCTTTATGAAATGTTTCAGTGTGACATGACATTTTACCACAATAAGATTTCATTTGATTCAGTTATTAGTTATTTTCATATGATTTAGAATCACTTTTAAAACACACTGAATACACAAAACTAACTGGAGGAACTATTTACACCAGAGATAAGAACTAATGCATTTGAATCACCACTTTCAGAGTGATGCATCATGATATTTATGCAATTGTACAGAAGTCTTCTCACATTTCATTCACTATTTCTCCTCCTGTCACTCAGTTTAAGCAGTTCCATTGTTGTTCTGCTTGGTATCAAAAAGAATAACCCCAGTCTCAAATGTACGGACTTAAATATGACTCTAGTATCAGCTCCATGTGTGAACCAGCAGCTTTTATGTTGTCTTTTGTAGCCCCAAAAGAGTCAGCAGAATCATTGTACTGCTTCTTTTACTCGTCTTTTTCATGTGCTGTAAGTCAGTTCTGTTGAGTGGGATAGTCAAACTCACTCTCGTCTCCTTCCTTAACCTCCAGAGCTCGTTCTGAACCCGTCCTTATTATTCATAATAATTGATTAATAATTGATTGACTCTTGTAAATTATTCAGCGCGCCATGCTTTTTAAGACCCAGTTTATTTTTTTGATCGCTAGGATGTTTCAGTGTTTAAACAAGATGAAGTAACTGTCTTACGTTAACCTTATCCTCCTTTTTTCTCTGTCTCCTTCTCTTTCTTTTCCTTCTGTAGGTTTGTACCAGGCCAAGGTTTAATACTGTACCCTCAGATCGGGGACAAAATGGACATTGTGTGTCCTCGTGTGGAGGGCGGCTCTATGGAAGGAGTGGAGTATTATAAACTCTACATGGTTCCTCGTGAACAACTGGACACTTGTACGGTCACCAAGGCGGATACGCCGCTACTGAACTGCGTAAAGCCTGACCAGGATGTCAAATTCACCCTCAAGTTCCAGGAGTTCAGCCCAAACCTTTGGGGCCTGGAGTTCTTCAGAGGAAAAGACTACTACATCATCTGTAAGTACAACAGCCAATTATTATTCACATTATTATTCATAACTCCACCTCAGCCAACCATTATCCACAAAACTCCACCCCAATCAATCATTATTTGTGTCATTTCATCCCAGCCAGTCATTATTGATATAACTCCATTTCAGACAATCATCATCCGACTAACTCCTCCCCAGCCATTGTCTGCATGACTCCACCCCAGCCAATCATTATCCACTGAACTCTGCACCAACCAATCGTTATCTACATGACTCCATCCCAGCCAATCATTACCCACTTAACTCTTCACCAACCAATCGTTATTCACAAAACTCCACCTCAGCCAATTACTTACATACCTCTGCTCCAGCCAATCATTATGTACTTAATCCCACCCTAGCTGATCATGATCCACATAAATTCGCCCCAGCCAATCATCATCCACAAAACTCTACCCAGCCAATCATTATCCACAAAACTCCACCCAGCCAATTTATTATCCACATAACTCCATCTCTGCCAATCACTCTCTACATAACTCCATCTCAGCCAATCATTGTCCACAAAACTCCATCTCAGCCAATCACTCTCCACATAACTCCAGCTCAGCCAATCATTGTCCACAAAACTCCATCTCAGCCAATCATTACCCACAAAACTCCATCCCAGTCAATCAATCTCCACATAACTCCATCTCAGCCAATCATTATCCACAAAACTCCACCCAGCCAATCATTATCCACAAAACTCCAACCAGCCAATCATTATCCACAAAACTCCATCCCAGCCAATCATTATCCACATAACTCCATCTCAGCTAATAATTATTCAAGTAATTTCATTCCAGCCAATCATAAATCAGTTTGTTAGTTATAAACTTTTTGTCCCAATAAATGTTAGATTGTTTTATCCATTGGCTTCATCCCAGCCAATTGCTATCCACGTATTTTCATCTCAGCCAATCGTATCGCCGTGCTGTCATTAGCATTTCTATTTGCTTTTGACTGCTTCAGTTTTGTCCGATAGCGTGTAATGTGCAGAGACTGTAGAAGCTTGTACAACCATATGCAACCGTACTACATATTTTATTACACATCTGTGTCCAATATTTTTAGTGTAGCTTTTTACATTTAACAATTTTTAAACATTTTAATAAAAATGTGTTCTAGTAACACGATCTGAGTCAGAGATGTGCTGCGCTCTTGTGGTCTGACACAAAATGGGTTAAAACAGCACTAACACAGAAAGCATGTTGTTAATTAACACTTCATGTTTGAGAGTATATTGCATTAGCCACTGTAGCGTCTGGTAAATTGCTGTGTTTAGATTAAATGCAGCTTCTTGTTATGGCTGTGTTGGGAATATTTGGGCTGGAATGTTCCAGCAGTTTGACTGTAGGGGTGTGGAATGTACCACATACGAACTGTGAAGAGCCCGAAGAGTTTTTGAAGTTAGCCTATATTCGTACACTCGAATAGAAACAGAGCTGAGGTTTATTTGCAAGGCGTTTGCATGTGGGCTGTGTTTTCACAGTCAGCCATAGAATTACTGGATGCTGAACCGCAGGGGCTTCTGTGCGCGCACACACACACACACACACACACACACACACACACACACACACACACAAACATATGCTCCAGGCATAGGCAGGCTATATATGTGCAGTTACGTAAGTGGGAAAATAAGAGATCTATTTCAGCCACATATGCTTTTGTACAGTGTCAGAAGGTAAGGTCATGCCTAGGCCTGATATATATAAATTTTATATATATATAAATAAAAGTACCTATATGCAATATTATGAATATGTAAGATAAGTACCTATATGTAATAATAATATGCCCCATATACGTTATTTTTGTAAAAATAAAACACTTTTTGAGGATCAGTTTGTTGGTCCTGTAAATTGGCTTTGGTTTTCTTACAAAGTCAGAACATTTTAGCCCTGAAAATGTACAAAAACAAACACACACACACACACACACACACACACACACACACACACACACATACACATGACAGACACCACCACAATGCAAAGCAACCCGAGTATTCTTCCTTTCCCCGCTCCCTAATTCCAGATTCTCGGAATTGACACATGCAATTTTCTCCCTTGCTTCGGAAAAGGCCGGAATTTCACCCTGATGAAAAAGTTCGCCTCTAACTTACAGAGCAGGAAATCCAATTCTGCTGCTCATGCAGATTTGCCCCTTTTCTTTCTTCCTTTTTTTCGGTCCTCTCTTCGCAAGCTAAAGCTAATGCAGCAGAGTGGAGAAATTAGAGTAACGGGGGAGACAGAGAGAAAGAGATGAGTTGGAGAAATGGGCCATTTTTCTCCATTGTAGATGTTAATTGCCTCTTGTTCTATAGTACAATGATGGCCTGCAGCTGGAGACTTTCGTGTGAGTGTAAGTGTGTGTGTGTGTGTGTGTGTATGCTGCCATAGAGCTGCGGAGTGCAGGAGGGTGCGACTGCTGTGAACTCGTTAAGGAAGGAATTGAGCTTTTTAGGCCTGGCGTTCGATAAGTAATTAATTAAATAGTTTAATCCTAATGGTTAAGTTAAATTAGTCTGCCTGTTGTCAATAAGAGCTCAGCAGCACCTGGATTATCGGGGCAACTTGGCAGCACTGAATCCGCATGTGTGTGTGTGTGCACGCGGATGTACGTCTGTCAAGCTTTGAAATGGCTCTCCCATTGTTCATCTGCAGTCTGACGTGGGCGAGCCAGTTTGTGTGTGCGTGCAGATGAGCCTGAGCTAATGCCGTCTGACAGACTGCCCTAGAGCTGGGAACTAAGAGAGAGCGGGCGAGCAACATGATCTAAATATGGGGAGAGAGACTGAGAGAGAGAGAAAATGGCTGAGCTGATTAAAAAAAAAGGGAAGGCAGAAAGGAAAACAAGTGAATGAAAAGGGAGCGAGGAAATGAGGAAAGAGAGAAAGCGAGGGATGGAGTAAGACGAGGGAAGAAGGAAAGAAATCTTGAGTGCTGTTGGAGCGACGCGAGGACGCAGGGGGGCATTTCTAGTGCAAAAAAAGAGGGAGAGAATTCCAATAGTGCTTTAATTACTTTTAGTCTCCTCAATGAGTTGTGAGCATCTGCAAAGTGGAGTATCTACTATATTTGCATGTAAAACACAGTATGTGTTTGTGTGTTGGTATGTATTTAGCACTTTGTGGGGACCAAATGTCCCCAAGAAGATAAAAATATTAATATTTGTTCATTGTTGTAACTTTTAGCTGCCTTTTTCCTTTAAAAATCTGCAGCTTTTATTAGAAAATGTTACAGAACCAAAGCTGACCTTTCGGTTACTGAGGTTAAAGGGGTACTTCTGTGTTTTCTTAGTTCTTCTGTGTTTTCTTAGTTGTTTTCTTAGTTGCTCTCTGCTGCATCAGTAGAATACAATTCATTACCATGACAAGAAAATATCCATATTATTTTCTGTGGTAATTCACTGTATGCTTCAGAGGTGGCAAATTGAGACTAAGTTGGAAGGACACTGGAGTACTCCTTTAATTTTGAAGCACACCTTTAAGGTCAGGGTTGGTTTAGCTGCATTTACATACACTTACACAGAAAAAAAAATACCCCACAAAGACAGGAATACACATTAAAAAGCAGACATCCTACATTTTTCTTGTATTTTATTATTTTTATCAGAATTTTTCAATTCAATACATTTTTTCTTCATTATTTTTATAATATGTATTCACTAATTTGTCTACAACCATTTTTCTACCTCATAGAAATAAACAGGGGTTTTTGGTACCGTCCCTTACTGCTATATGCAAATGAGCTCTGTTCTATATTGGCAGGCCTCAGTCTAAAGCAGGCCAGGCTTTAGCACGTCTTATAACTTCAGCATAAATGGAATAAAGTAATACAATAGTTTTGTGACATCACAAAAACAGTAAATTCAAAACGGGCCATTTTTCTTTGTAATTTCCATATATGGACTGTATGTTTAGTTTTCCATAATAAGGGCTCTTTAATGTGGGTGTCCACATGCATGCTGTTGCCATGGTCACTAGGCAGGTGTGCGGGTCACAGCTGCAGTCAGGTAGGTGCGCAGTCTGTGACAGGCACAGTATGGCCAAGGCCACGCGCGCGTGTGTGCGTGCTGCCCGGGGTCTGTGCTGTCTCTTATTAGTGTCTGTGCTCATTAGGGACCACAAGGGTTCACTGCTCGGTGACCCCGGCGCCATGGCGATCAGGTCAGACTCTCCGGCAAAGAGGCCACCAAGCGACCGCGTCATTAATATCATAGACTCTCTCTCTCTCTCTCTCTCTCTCTCTCTCTCTCTCTCTCTTCACGGATGGCTGCCTGTGCATTAATGGTCTGGTTGTTTTGGAGCAGGGCAGTTAGCAGAAGCTGTACTGAAGAGAGAGAGAGAGCAGCTTTTAGCTCATTTAATAGCAGAACAAAAGGGGAACTCCACCAACTTTTTAAAATTTCTGCGTAATTCAATGGTTGAGACGTAAACAAGGTCATTCAGAGCGGTTTGTTGTGAAATGCTCTGTTCTAGAGAAACTTACCGAGTCAGGATTGTTCACAGTGGTGGTGATAGGAACCAGACGTCCACCTCTAAAAGTTCCCTCACAGAAAGTTATTACTTGAAATGAATATGCTATTATGAACACACTGCCTAGTGCCTGAGATATTGTTTTACAATCATTTTAAGAGAAGCACTTGGGCTGAAATGTAGGGCGGAGAGGTACGGCTGTGTGCAAAAGTTTGGGCGCCCCTGATCTAATGACATATTGATTTTCTAAGTGAATATGTGAACACGTCCTGTACAGAGAAGACACTTCTGCACATTTTTGATGCATATTTGCTGAATTTAACATATTTGGGAGAAAAAAAAACATAAAATGTTGCCTGTGCAAAAGTTATAGCACATTTTATAGTTAAACTGATCAAATAAATACTTATGTGTACTTATTTTCACTTAGAAATACGTTCAATTTGTTTTGTAGGCATGGTGACCCCTGGTTCCTATCACCACCTCTATAAATTAAATCTACAGTGAAGCTTTTCATATCAGACCACTCTGAATGACTTTGTTTATATCTCAACCATTTAATCATGCCAAATTTTGAAAAAATCGGTGGAATTGCCCTTTAAGGTTGTGACATCTTCAGTACAGTATTTAAAAAAATCACCAAAACATTTTGTTTAAACCCAAAACTGTATCGCTCAAAACTAATCATCTGGGTGCAGAGTGAAGTGGGTAGGGTGGGGAAGGGGCTTATGATATAGACACACCCACATCCAAATGACTGTGCTTTTTTCTAAAGCTTAGAAACTCCAGGGGTTGTGATTTTTTGGGTTTATTTTGTTAGAAGGCGGCACAGAAGGCCGCAGAAGTTCTCTTGGAGAGCTTTTGTTTATCTGAGCCAAACCAGTCTGTGCTGTGTATAATCAGAGCTCTGAAAAGAATATACACCCAATCACATCTCGAGCTCAGAATCAAAACTGTATCGATCCTGAAAATTTGGGTATAGTTACACATGCTGTATGTGTGTGTGTGTGTGTGTGTGTGTGTGTGTGTGCAGACTCATGGTCACTTCACTGCTCTCATCCGCACTGTATCCATATCAATCAGGAAATTTTTTTCTCAGCCACAGTCGGACTCTGAGGTCCAGAAGGCTGAACACCAAGAGTCAGTCTGAGACAACAGAGGAGAAAACACATTCAGACATTTGACTGATTATGGACACACAGCTTTAGACACTGTCTCTCTCTTTCTCTGTCTCAAACTCTCTCTCTCTCTCTCTCTCTCTCTCTCTCTCTCTCTCTCTTTCTCTGTCTCAAACTCTGTCTCTCTCTCTCTCTTTTCTCTCTTTCTCTGTCTCAAACTCTCTCTAACTCTAACTCTGTCTCTCTCTAACTAACTCTCTCTCTCTCTCTCTCTCTCTTTCTCTGTCTCAAACTCTCTCTAACTCTAACTAACTCTAACTCTGTCTCTCAAACTGTCTCTAACTCTCTCTCACTCTGAAACTCTCTAATTCTCTCTCTCTTTCTCTCTCTTTCTTACTCTAACTCTCTCTCTCTCTTTCGATCTCTCTCTAACTCTCTCTCTCTCTCTCTTTGTAACTCACTCTCTATTTCTTTTCTCTGTCTGTCTCTCACTCTCATTTCTTTGCCCTCTTTCTGTTTCTTTCTTTTCTCTCTCTCTCTTGTCTCTCTCATTTTCTTTCTCTACCTATAATTCTTTGTGCTCTCTCCTTTTTTCTTTTTGTGCCTCTCTCTCTCTTGCTGTCATTGTGTCCTCATTTTCTCTCTCTCTCTCTCTCTCTCTCTCTCTCTCTCTCTCTCTCTTTCTCTGTCTCTCCCTCATTTGTTCATGTTCTTTCATTCCCTTTCTTTTCTCTCATTCTTTTTTCCTTGTTTCCCTTCTTTTCTCTCTCTACCCCTAATTCTTTATGCTCTCTCTCTCTCTGTTTTATTCTTTGTTCTTCCTCTCTCTCTCTCTTGCTATCATTCTTTTCACTCAAACACTCATTCTCTCTCTCTCTCTCTCTCTCTCTCTCTGACCTGTGGCTTTTCAGTGTTGTAGAGAAGACAAGCCCATTACATGCAAAGCTTCTTAAAAGCTTGTGTTCCTTTGAGTTACTTCATATCAATCCCATAATAACATGCACACACACACACACACACACACACACACACACACACACAAATCAATAATCACATGAGAAGAACTAACATTCCAGCATGTGTAGAATGTGTATGAGAGTCTTATGGTTATTACAGAAAGAGGAGTGTCTAACTACTGACTCAACCAGAGAGAGAGAGAGAGAGAGAGAGAGAGAGAGAGAGAGAGAGAGCAGAGAAGAAAAGGAAAGGACACGAGGAGTGAGATAAATGAAAGAGAGAGAGGGAGAGAGAGATGAAGTTATTGATGTCTTCTAGAAGAAAAGCAGAAGGGATGAAGACAGAGAGAGATGATGAAGTCAATAACAGAGAGAAAACCCACGGCAGAAGGAATTAAAGGGTCTCTCCCTCTCTCTCTCTCTCTCTCTCTCTCTCTCTCTCTCTCTCTCTCTCTCTCTCTCTCTCTCTCTCTCTCTCTTATTCTCTCAAACATACACACACACAGTAAGAGAAGCACCTGCTTTTTAATTCTCCTCCAATTCCACAGCGACTCACAGACGACGGGAAGGGGGTTGGATGTGATGGGGGGGGGCTACGGTTCTCTCTCTCTCTCTCTCTCTCTCTCTCTCTCTCTCTCTCTTAATGCCACAGTGTTTTGGACTCAGGCCAGACTCCAAAGCCCCTGGCAGCTCGTTAGTTCTGTGTTACTGACCTGATGGACTGCAAGCCTACTGGATGCACACACACATGCACACACATACACACACATACACACTCACAATGTATTGATCTTCTGAGGCCACAAGGTGCTCCACAGCTCCTAGCCTGAAAGTTCATGCGAGTCTGCTGAGTGCGCTAAAGCTGCCTATAGCCTGTGCCTGAACGACTGTAATTTTATAATACTTCATTGCAATATATTAATAACTTTTTAAATATGTTATAACTTTTACAGTATAAATGTAAATAATAGGAACTAGACACCAAAAGGTATTTTTAGATATTTATTCAAGATATCAGTATTTCATAACAATGTATCAATGTTTGTTACTTTATTTACAGTAATAACTTGATTGTTTTATGTAAACATAAAATGTAACATATATATATATATATATATATATATATATATATATATATATATATTGCCTGTAATATAGCGATTTCTGTCATTTTGCTATATATTTCACTTGATATATGACCTAAATATCCAAATTATATAAATATATATATATATATATATAATTTCACAACAATATATTAATCATAAGTACTTTATATACCATGGTAACTGTAAAATTTTGCCAGATAGCAAGAAAAAGAAGCTCTTTTGTTCTTCCATCAAACTGGCCTCTATTGGAGAAGCTATTATTTTTCTATTCCTCCTTTTTCTCACTCACACTTTCTTGTTTACTGTCTGCTGTGTTTTGGGTTTCTGAGAAGTCCAGAGCGATTTCTGTATATTTGCTATATATTCAATGTAATAACGACCTAATCAGTTACATTGTTGCATAGTGACTTACATCTACATTCAGTTTACATTCTGTATCATTTCTCTCTTTGTTTAGATTAACAAATCATAAACTCAAATCATAATAAATGATCTCCTCCTCTTACAAACACAAATAGGTCTGTATTGATAGTTCAGAATCTGCACTTTCCACACAGTTTATCCATTCGCTTCGACGAGCTCTGACTGAGGCGTAATTCATATCAAACTGTATCATGCTGTTGTTATTGCTGGTGATTATTGTAAATTCTAAGGGTTGAATTGTTTTTGATTTTGTTAAATTACTCTTGACCCCCACTGGCTCCATGTCCACTGAGCAAAAACAAGCATTTTTTCCTGCTTTCCTCATGTTCAATCCATTCATGTTCGTGGCAAATACTGGAGGTCCGAATTCGGCAGGGGACCACGACCCAGCATCCTGCACGAGTGTGATTAGGTCAGAAAGCAGCAGGACTTCCAGAGCCTCTGAGCAAAGGCTGCTGCTTTGGAAGCGATTTCAAGTTTTTATATTTCTTAGCTGCAGGGTTTCTGCTCAAAGGCTTCCTGACGTATTCATACGCTAGAATCTAATTTGAAATATATTAATGGTATTTGTTTAACCTCTCAAACTGTGAGGGTCTCTACATGGGCCCACACGTCAATTACTCACTTCTACAGAACTACATCACTCAGTTTCATAACAGATACCAGTTAATACTGTGTATAATATAACATAGTATTACAACTTATTAAGTTATTATATCGTTATTAATATGCAATACTACATATATAAACATTGTGCTACTGTAACTTTCCCCTTGGCCATGTATCCATCCATCCACCCATCCATCCATCCATCCATCCATCCATCCATCCATCTATCTATCTGTCTATCTATCTATCTATCTATCTATCTATCTATATTCATCTATCCATTAATACCATGTATATTATGTACTGTATAAATATAACTTTATTATATATACTTATTATATGCCAAAGTTTACATTTATGTTTATATGTTTATTGAACATTTTATTATGAAACATAAACTGTGGCCTGTACAAAATTCATGGCACTTTTTAAGCTTTGTATTTGTAGTGCATGTTCTATAGATTCTGATACTTCCAGTGTCCACACATGCACACACATACACACACACATACACACCGCAGAGACTTGACCTTGTTTTCGTTTCCTCTCTTTCAGCAACATCGAATGGCACAATGGAAGGCCTGGAGAACCAGGAAGGAGGAGTGTGTAAAACAAAATCCATGAAAATCGTCATGAAGGTCGGACAGAGTGAGTATTTCACTCCCTGATTGTTGCATTGGGCACCTTTACGCTCAACCTATAATTACTGACAATGATCATTGATAAATCAGCCACAGTAATTACAGCAGGTCACCTCTATCTCCACCCACTTCTCTCCTTTCCTTCCTTTTCCTTTTTTTTTCTCTGTTGAAGGTCACTGGATTAATCTTGAGTGCCTCTGCCCTAATTAAATGCACACCAAATTCCATAGGAAAACATACATTTTCGACAGCTGCGTTGCTTCTGGTGGTTCCGTATGAAGCGTGTTATGTTTTTTTATTTGATGTTTCTTTAATGCTTATGTTTCTTTCTATGTTTCAGACCCATCAGATCCAGTTCCTCCTAAAGATTATCCCACCAGACATCCGCCAAAACACACAGACACAGGCAAAGACACCAAATCCAACGAAGTGCTCGACAAACCAGGTACGATATGCACCCATCAGTTAACATACACTAGAGGAGCGTGTGTGGGTGTGTGCTTTTCATATATTTAAAACAAAATAGTCATAAAAGCACATAAATTGCTATTTCTAAAAGCTGCATGTCTCATTTTCTTAGAAATTATGATTATATATGGGTACATATGGGTACACATACACATTATATATCGCTGGTGTTGGAACAAAACCTTGTATCTCCAAAATGGTAACTTTACAGGAGAAGGGAAAAACATACTCTACTTTTAATGCAAGTCTGTGGAACCAGAATTTTTTCCAAATAATTTTGGGTCATTTATTTTGGTCCGTTCATCATGAGATTTGCACACAATGTAAAGGGCAACAGCCATTGTCAAAAACTGAAAAATGACATATTTATATATAGGCAATATATAGGCAATTGCACATATATAATACATATGGGAGGTATTTTGTTATTACGTGTAGATATTTACATAAACACATCTCTACATATATGTATGGGATATATTATCATTATTTATAGAAACGTATATAGAACATATCTATAACATAATATAATATATAGAACATATATTTGTTAGGTATAGGCACGTACATATATATACAACAAATATGGGGCATGTTATTGTTACATAGTACTTTGAGATATGACTCCTGATATTGTATGAAAATAAACCTCTCTCTGTGTATATGTATGGTGTAAAGGCTAAGTGTGAAGGAGAGGTCATCCATTCTTCAGCCAGTAATTTCAAATTGCCCATTAAACAACACACATCTGCCCCTCTACGTTCCTCATATTCTCTCTCTCTCTCTGCCTCTCTCACACTCTGGTAGTCCATTGCTTAGCTACTGTGGAAGTGACATTTGCTGTAAAATGATACAGTCATCTATTATACAGTGCACAGACAGACGGTCCAGCAGGCCAACAGAAAACCTCTGGGTGTTCTTGCTTTTACAAATCCCTCTGACAAGAACCCAAACATGCCAGAGCGAGACGCACACATCCACACACACTCTCCCTGTCTGCATACCACCACATCCCTCTCTCTGTCTCTATCTCTATCACTCTCTCTCACTCCCCCACCTACATGCAGGAACATATGGGCGTCAGACTCATTTGAGTGAAGTGTCTTAGGCCGTGTAATCCTCTTGTAAATCAGTCTAAAGCGCTGGACGTGAGCAGTTGGTCCAGCCGTCCAGCCTGTGTCCCTCGGGGACAGCTCACAGCAGCAGTTTGGGCTAAGTGAGGCACTGTTTGCCCCTGAGGAGCTCCACACTGTACACTGTGCTCAGGCATTTTATAATTTAAATGCTGGAGCTGCAGACTGGCATTCAGATTAGCTTGATCCAACTTAGTTTCGCCTCATTCTGAAATGAACAACACTGCGTCACATAGCTAAAAACAGTAACAGAAGCAAGGGATGTGGGAAGAGGGGGTGCTGGGGGGGCTGTATTGCTCCTTTTTTTGACCATGCAACTGACTTCTCTTGTCTCCCCCCTCCCAGGAGCGTCCCATCGTGAGGGCGAGACGGCCGATGGCGGCGGCGGTGGCAAATCCTCGTCAGTAATTGGCTCAGAGGTGGCGCTGTTCGCCGGCATCGCTTCAGCCAGCGTCATCGTCATCATCATCATCGTCATGCTGGTGGTGCTTCTGCTGAAATACCGGCGGCGCCACCGCAAACACTCGCCCCAACACGCCACTGCGCTGTCCCTCAGCACGCTGGCCACACCCAAACGGGGCGGAGCCGGCGGCAACAACAACGGCTCCGAGCCCAGTGACATCATCATCCCGCTGCGGACTGCTGACAGCGTCTTCTGCCCGCACTACGAAAAAGTTAGTGGGGATTACGGCCATCCCGTTTATATCGTACAGGAAATGCCCCCTCAAAGCCCGGCCAACATCTACTACAAGGTTTGAGGACCATGAGGGCCCACTTTGACCTTTGACCTGCTCCCCCACCACCTCCTCGATGGACCGCCTCTCCACCCTCGGGGGCGGGATCGAGCTAGCCCCGCCTCCTCTCGTGGCTGTCGTTTATTTTTTTGCCCGTTTTGTTTTTCGAATATTCCTTACTGTTATTATCACCAGTATAGATTTTCCTTATGGTGGAGTGAGGCTCCTAATATGCTGCTCTTAAACCTCCCCTGAAAACGTGAACACTGACACGTGCTGCGTAGGACTGGAGGATCCTATAGCGTGTCTTGTGATCGGACATGCCGGGGGGGTGTTTTTGGGGGTCCGTGTTCAAACAGTGAGGGGGACGAGGAGGGTGCCGAAAGCCCTCTTTTCTACTTCACTTCATGGACTCCACAGCTGGAGACAAGAAGAGAGCAACGAGAGGGACAGCAAGTCGAGGACGCTTGATCGAACTGGTGCCGGTCACGGGGAGTCTCTTCGACTGGGAAGTGGACACAGCTGGTCAGCTGCCGCTGCTGAAAGCTGGACTTTACAGGAAACTCGGAGACGGGAAGCTCCTTTTCATCGGCTCATCGGACATTTATTGGAGTTTCCCGTTTGGTAAAAAGTGGACTTCACCCGTTTCGCTCGCCTTCTTGGTCACTCGTGTTTTTTTGTCCGTTTCCACCCTCCCCTCATCTCGACACACCTGTTTTATTTTTTCTCTTTGACGAAATGACTCTCACAAATCGTTACTTGAAAGCTTTGCTTTTTTTTGTACGGTCATACGTCTTAACTCGCATTTCTCTTGGTCATTCCTCCAGTATGGTTCACGTTTTGTAGAACGTAGGTATCGTCATAGAGATCCTTTCGTGCTGGTTTACTTCGTGCTGTTCGTATGTTGCGTGGGACACACACACACAGGCGTACACACACACACATTGGCATACACACATTTCGCTCACGTAAGTCTGCAGCCAAGGGCTAGAGGACAGGGGGATAACGTTCGTTTGAGGTTGTTTTCTGCTGGGACGGTGGAGGAACCATGTGAACACTTTTGAAGCAGCACTTTTAAAAACACCTCCACCTGGCCCCTGCAGAACACACACATATATAAATACACACACACACACAAACACCAGACTTATTGATATGAGGAGGAGGAGGAGGAGCTAAATGGCAGCACCAGTGGAGTGAAAGCCTATAGGATAGAAGCATGTCAGCGAAAGGCTAGCACTGGCAATAAGTCTCCAACTGCCTACACACATATTGGTGGCCAATGTGGGGTCGGACCCCCGGACCCGTTTCCGATGAACTGGTGCTGCCATACTTTGCGCAAAAAAAAAAAGCACAGGGTCATCCAACATATTGCTATTAGCATTAGCATAATGATTTTTATTATAGTTCTTATTATTATTATTATTATTTACTTGTTTTAATTGAATGCAGAAGACTTAATTAACATTTTTTTCGTTAGCTGTACAGTTGAAAAGGAGGAGATTTTGTTCTTTAAATGTGGAAAGAAACAGAGAGAAAGTAGAATTTATTTATGATACACAGAGCACACAAATGGCCAGGCAGGAAAAAAAGAAGATATGAATAATTTAGCAAACAGGCACATTATGCAAATGCAAAATTTCTTTTCTTTTTACGTTAACATACTTTTTTTTTTGCCCCATTCACACTGATCTTAATCTAAATAGTTGCCTTTTGAACCACAAGCTTATATATAAATATATATGTAACACACACTTTGACACACACATGCAGCAGACACATACACAGGCAGGAAAGGGGCAGCTTTGGAAGAAGGCCCCAGAGAAAAACAGCATGTTGGGTTTAAAATAGCTGAAAGGAATGAGAAGGAAGGGCCAGAAATGGTGGAGAACACAGGCGAGTCTGGCAGAATCTTGGGTACCAAGGCTAAAGTAAACCAGCTCTTCTGGCCAGGCCTGTCTGATCTGATGAAGCTCAGAGAGCGCCGGGTTGAAATTAGGCCTTCTCAAGTGGGTAGCAGGGTAGTGGACGAAGGTTAGGAAGCAAAGCAGATGGGAATTAGCTCAGGCTAAAATTGTAAATCAGATAAAACGGCAATTTTCATGCTACTTCGCAGGTCTTTTGAGGAAAACAGAAAAAGAAGTGTCGATGGAGAATATATGAGGCCTGTTGTGCTCTTAAAAATGAAGGGTTCTTTGCACGATGCCATAAAAAACCATGTTTAGTTGCCTAAAACAACTTTCAATGGATGCCTCTTTAGAGAACCATTGTTAGTGAGATGTGTGAGCCTGAAGAAACTTCCTGAAGTTTGTAGAACCTTGGGAGGAAGAAACCTGACATTTTTGTGAACGTTCTCCAAACATGGTTCCTCAGGGTTCCTCAGTGCTTCTCAAACCAGTCCTCAGGATCCTTAGATGGTCCACATTTTTGTTGATCTCCGATGTGAGTTGGGTTGGAGCAAAAATGTGGACTTTTATTTGAGATCATTTGAGAGAACCAAAAGTAGTTCTTCTATCATAGGGCGCCCAATCTTGGTCCTGTGAATCCACCACCCTGCAGAACTTAGGTCCAACTCTAATCTAACACACCAGAAAAGCCTTTGGGTGCATCTGAACATCAGAACCAGGTAGATCTGAACTGTCTAGAGTGGACGATCTCCAGGACCAGGATTCTGTTCTATGGCGTCAAAGAGCCATTTTGGTTCCCTGAGGGACCTTCCAGTGGTTTTCTAAATGTAAAGAAGAGTTTAAAGAACCTACATATCATGCAAGGGTTCTATACCAATGTAAGATCTTAGAAACCATTCAGGAACCTTTATTTCTGAGAGTGCAGAAGCAGCCTAAGGGCGGGAAGTTGAGTCTGTAGCTGCTCCCATGGGATTGGCTGGGTTAATTCCCACAACCCTTTCCTCTTTTGTACACATCCTTCACAGCTCTCACGAGAACCCTCCTCCGGTCAAGCTTCTCCGACAACGTGATGGTGTGTGCGGTCGTCTATGTGAACCTATTTGAGCAAGTCCACCCTGCAGACGAGTTCTCTCATCGACTTCACTCATAAATATCTGTTCACCAGCGGTGGACTTGAGATTTTCGCTAACTCGGGAAACTTCGGCCTGGTGGCCCCCCACCTCCCCCCGTGGTCACATATCGGCCAATCGTTCATGAGTTTCTTTTGTTTGTTTTTGTTGTCATCTGTTCATGGAGATCGTCTGATCTCGCCAAGAAGCCAAGCCTTGTGTGATCTGAGGTTTGTGCCTCTGTAAGAGGCCACAAAATAAGCAAAATATGCAATTTTTATTTATTTTTGTAATTGAGAGAGAGAGAAAAAATGAAAAAAAAAAAAGAAATACACCTATGGAAAAGTGTTCTTAACCACTGAAATGAGTGAAAAAAAAATGAAACGACAATACAACACAAGCAAAACACCACAATCCCGCTGTGTTTGCTTTTTTTTCTTACGTAATTCTTTTCTAAATGCAGATTTCTTTCTTTTTTTTGTTTACTTTGTGCAGTAGGTTTGAGGTATACTGTGAAAAAAGCACTCACTGATCTGAGCAGTTCATCCGAAAATAGTCGACACATTACAGGAACACACATACACGTCACTGTTTGGTTGCTGTCCTGATATGGGCGAGAAAAATGACAATCTTCTTAGTTTCTTTGAATCCGAAGACGCTTTTCTGAACTAGCAAGTCGCGAAACGTTCGCATGACATCACTAAAGGTTTTCCCGCTAGCACGGGAAACGGAACGCTGGAACGTTTCGCGAGATGCTCGGCGAAGCGTCTTCAGGCTTACTGTAAAATGCCTTGCTCGTACTGTCATCCCGAGTTCAGAGGACTCTGATTTTTTGCACCGTACATCTGTAGGCAAGAAGCTGTAAATACATTCATGTTTGTATTGTATATGGATCCCGGGTTGTTACAATAGCCTTATCACACGTTTTTAGGAAAGCGAAGAAAAACGACAGAGGAAAAAATGATACACCGGTAAAAAAAATACAAAAAAAAAAAAAGCATACTTTTTTTGGTAAATAGCTTGTGTAAATATCAACAACCAACCCAATAAAACATTTTTTTATAAACTCTTAAAGTAAGATGTTTTGTATAAAATTGGAATTTTTTGCTATGTATTTTAGCTAGCGCTCGTCGGAAGTCCTCGACCCTTCCCAACCACCCCACCCCTTTTGCACTGTTTCCATGGTGATTTGGTTTCAAGGAAAAAAATACGAAAAGAAAGAAAACGAGAGAAAGAAGAGAGTTGCCAAACTGACTGCTGCATATTTGTGCCATATGTGTGTACCATAGATATTTATTTAATTAGTTGTTTTTGTTTTTTCATTTGTTTGATTTGATTTCTATCCAGTTTGTACGCAAAAATTCAGTATTATGGTTGAGTTTTGTTTTGTTTTGTTTTATTTTTTTTTTCCTTTGACTCCTCCCATTTCTGCCATTTGTCTGTCTGTTGCTATGGTTTCCCAGTGGCTGTAGCTCCACCCCTTTCCCGTGCAGTAAGAGCTGGTCAGGCCGCGAAAGAGTTAAAAAAGAAATGACACACATTCCACCAGTCTGTTACAAACTGAAAATGATTTTCAATAAAATGTTTTTTCCTATGGAACCTTCGAGTCTTTCTCATCTTTCTTTCTCAGCGTCTCTTGTAAACTTCAAGAATACAACCAAATTTGCACAAAAATGGACAAAAGCGCTGATAAATGACATACTGTGTCAGAAACCACTTAAGTGAGTCTATTTGAGATTGCTTAACAACTCTACAAAGTTTGAGGCAAGTGTGTGATGAGTCAGGCATTCATTTTGCACAGTAATGAATGCTAACATGCTTCCTTTATGGGAAAACAAGGCTAATTGGGGTTGTTTAGCATAGTGTTAATTTCTGGGTCAGTGGGGGAAGTCTCACAAAAATAATTGCCCTCTTGACCAACATTCATCCATTTTGTGCAGAGCTCTAAACAGTAGCTGGATCTTCTATTTTTTGCATATTTGTTATGCTTAAATGTTTCAGATCATCAAACTACTTTAAATATTAGACAAAAATAGCCCAAGTAAACATAAAATGCTGTTTTTAAAAAAACAATTTCATTTATTGATGGAAAAACTGCTGTTCGGCCCTACCTGGCCCTATGTGAAAAGGTAATTGCCCCTTTAGCTGCTAAATCAACCAATTAACCAAATTCGATTAACTATTGGGTTCAATTTAACCAGCCATGGTTATGCAGCCATGATTACTGCCTGACCTGTTATATCTAGACATCACTTAAATGGAACCTGTCTGGCAATGTGAAGCAGGCTAGAAGGTCTCAAAAAGCAGCTCATGATGCCACGTTCTAAAGAGATTCAAATACAGATATGAAACAAAGTCATTTTACCAGGAAACGGTTACAAAGCCACTGTGTGAACCACAGTGAGAGCCATTATCCACAAATGGAGAAAACCTGGAACAGTGGTGACCCTTCCGCGGAGTGGCCGGCCTACCAAAATGTCACCAAGAGTGCATCGACAACTCATCCAGGAGGTCACAAAAGAACCCAGATGAACATCTAAAGAACTGCATGCCTCACCTGCATCGGTTAAAGTGGTTAACTGACTCCACATGATTCCACAATAAGAAGGACACAGGGCAAAAATGGCATCCATGGGAGAGTTGCAAGGCACAAACCATTGCTGACACAACACAAAAGCTCATCTCATGTTTTCCAAAAAACATCTAGATTACTTTTGGGATAACATTCTGTGGACTGATGAGTCAAAGGTGGAACTTTTTGGAAGACATAGGTCCTGTTACATCTGGCGTAAAGCTAACACCACATTCCACCATGAGAACATCATAACAAGAGTCAAACATGGTGGTGGTAGTGTGATGGTCTGGGGCTGCTTTGCTTCTGCAAGACCTGATAGATCCATGAATTCTGTTCTCTTGCAGGAGAATGTCCGTCTTTCAGTTCATGGCCTAAAGCTCAAGCACAGTTGGGTTATGCAGCAGGACAATGATCTGAAGCACACAAGCAAGTCCACCTCTGAAGAAACAAAATTAAGGTTTAGTGGCCATCTTGGCTTGAATCCCATTAAGATGTTGTGGCAAGACCATAAATGGGAAGTTAGCCAAAATATAACAATTCTGCAAAGGAGAGTCTCACAAATTATTGCAAACATTCAATTGTGATTGTTACTGCCAAGGGTGGCATAACCAGTTATTAGGTTGAGGGGGGCAATTACTTTTTCACATGGGTGATATAGGTTTTGAATAAATCTTTATCTTCAAAAAATGGAATGATCATTTAAAAGCTTTATCTTTACATATCTTTATGTTTTATTAGAATTAGTTGGATGATCTGAAACATTTAAATTTGACAAATTAGCAAAAATAGAAGAATTTGGGTGGGGGAAACTTTTTTCACAGAACTGTCTAAACATTTTAATTAGTTGAATTGGCAATCAGCTGTACGATCTGAAAGGAAGTAATGCTAGATAGTAAATATAGAGTTGTGTCCTGATGTTGGTGGGGTTGGTTGGCACATTGGTCCAAATGAAGGGCAGTTTAGTTTGAACATTGAAAAGTGAAAAAAGGCTGAAATCTGGATCTAAAAACATTTTGTCCAATATTGTTAATATTAATTTAGCCAAAAATCAAATGTACACAGAATCTTTTCACATTAGACAGTTTAGTTCTCATTTGCTGCTTGTTGGATTATGCTAACGAGTGGCATGCTGGGTAAACACAGCAAAGAGTGAAAATTGTGCCAACTAGTGATGGGGAGTCGATCCCATCCCAAAGAAATCAATTCCAACACATCTGGGAGTCAAGGTCAACCACTCGCCAGTGACTCTGAGAGTCAAAATGCTTGAAATCGGCTCTTCATCTCTGTTGTCTGTTTTTTGTTTTGTGTTTTTAGTGCTTTTCAGTTTTCATTTTTTTCTGTGTGTTAATTAGCAGGCTTTAAAAAATGCTGTCGGTCCTCACCAGCCACTGTGAGCACACGCTCCATTCACAAAAATGTTTTTAATACGTTCTGCACAGCAGCTTTTCATTTTCTTCATGATTTGAATCACAATAAACAATGAAACAGTACAAGGAACGGAAGTAAAAACCAAAAACCAATAATTTTCACAGTTTTGGCAGCTTCTTATTCAAATTTCTGTTCCATCTTAAATGGCGCTGTAGTTACATTCTGACACCAGTGCAGCATTAAGTTAACTGCTGCATCACTTAACCCCTTAAAATCCCAGGCATATTACAAACTAAGGCTTATTATTCAATAACTAGAGGGACTTCAGTGCAAACTGGTTGAGCTATTTATAGGAATGTGTAATAAAACTTTGGGCCTGCTAGCAGGCCCTGGCCACCTAAGGGGTTAAGGCGGACTGGAAAAGTCGAAGAAGACACTGGAGAATACCAAGCTAACTTCAGCCTTGTGAAAAGAAGAACAGGTTAACATCTGGTTTGCTCCGTTCCAAAGAATTGATAAAGAATTTGAAAACAGCTCCTTTTCAGAGAATTCTGACCACAGTACTGATCACTCCACCCCACTTTACTATCATTTTTAGCTACTCTAAAAATTAGGGATATGTTTAGTGTGGTTTAATCTCTGTTGCATCTCTTTATCACTGGCTCTGGAGCTATTTTGGTTAAAATAAAGCAGAGTTGAGGAGTCGACTACATTGGTTCCAGGGACAGGAGTTGGGAGTTGGACTCTAGAAAACCCTGAGTCGTGCATCACTAGTGCCAACCAGCCCTGCGCTCCCAGACTTGTTAGCTACATTAGCATAACGAGGCTAATTTAGGGTTTTTACATTTTGTTAACATTTTGACATCGGACAGTGCAGAATACCACAAGCCAAATGTAACTAGATAGGAACTTGATCAGTCCATATTTGCACTTTATTTGATCAAGATGTGGTAACTGTACAGTGGGGTTTAGTTTGAACACTGAAAAGTGAAAAAAGGGCCAAAATCTGCATATAAAAACATTCCTCCCCTGCGCCAGTCCGCTCTTCATACAATCTCTGGTTATTTTATCTCCATGAAAATGATCTGCTGGCCTGCCAGAGTTATTTTGGTGGGGTCATATTTCATGCAGTCGATTTGAATAGTCTCTTTTGAACAGTCGGAGGACACAATGCGCTTACTTTCAGCCTGCCCGTGTTTGATGTTTGAAGATGAGGGCTTTGAGGGGAAGCAGAAATCTGCAGGAGAAGTGAAGAATTAACACTCGAGCCTCTTCCCCCGCTCTCCTCGAGTTTATCTGAAGATCGTAGCGCAGAGGGGTGACAGTGGAAAAACATTTACTTCTCTGGAAGCATGCTGAGCTTTGCTCTCTATTCATCTTTGTTGTGGCAATGGAGGAGTATGTGTGGTTTGGGTTTTTTTTCCTCTCTCTCTCTCTCTCTCTCCCTCAGAGAATCATCTGCTTCGCGCAATCCCACGTTCTCATCAAATTCCGATCTATCTGCTCGCTCGCTTTGAACTTTCCTCCTTCGTACCGCTGCCGTTCTTCTAGCAAAGCCGCAAATGAGACGTTGCAGGTGAATGAGGTGTTTTGGAAGCGTTTAATAGATTTTCCTAGTCACTTTACTCCAGACCGCAAAAGAAAAGCTGCTTGTAATGCGGCGACTTCCACTTCCACCGAAGCTGCAAGTTCTTGCAGGTTCTGCTCTCTTCTGGTTGTGATATCAACAGCAATGAATTCTTAAAAAGGGAGGGATAAACAGTTTGCTAAAACTGTCACGCGGCACGCCGAGAGAGCCGGTCTCCGGGGGCTTCCTAGAAAGTTATCTGTGCCATTTTCCTCTTTTTTTTCTGCCCGTGGTTTATTGTCGAGTTCCGCCTTCTCCTGCAAAAGCCTTTGTTCCTCCCCTATCCCCTGGCGGCGCAGAATAAATAGCACGATATCAAACTGAAGGCATGATAAATGTGCGGCTTAAAAGCTTCTCGCGCTAGGTTGGCTCCTACTGGGACTGACCTTAAGAGCTCGCAGTTGTAGGACTCGGTGTCCAGAGAATATCTATGTTAATATGGTCAGATGATACGCTTTAAATGAGCTCCATGCAGACGCTTGAACTGTGGGCCCAGAATAGAGCTAGACAGTAAGGCAACGTGTTGCTTCAGGCTTGCTCACAGAAAGCACAAGGGAAATCTAAGTAATGTTGGGATCTGTTTGGAGCTAAAGGTGTGTTATCTGATTTACCCGTCTCTTGTTTACCCAATTGTTATTCCAGGGTATATGTAGCCAGTAACTCATTAGCTACATTAGCTTCACACTTTATTATGAGGCTAATGCTATTTGGGTTAGCCTAATGTGTGGTATGCTGGGGATAAATTGACAGTATGTATAAACTAGACCCAGTCATCCCAGTGTTTAAAATGGGGACTGGGTAAGGTCACTTGTGCCACTTCCTGAGGGGTTCCTTGAGCAGTGGATAGCCAGAACTGGTTACTGTGCAGGCACCTTAACCCCTTAAAATCTAAGGCTTATTACATACTAAGGCTTATTATTCAGTAACTACAGGGACTTCCGTGCAAAATGGTTGGGTTATTCTTAGATTATAGAAGAGTGTAATAAAACATTATCATTTAAGGGGTTAATGACGCAAATCTAAAGCATG